TCAACCTCACAAAACCAGTTAGCGGACGATCTGAGTTGCCGAATGAATCAATCCCACGAGTGGGAGTTGGACAGCGATATATTCCACATGTTGTGCAACAAGTGGGGTCAGCCAAGCACGGATCTGTTCGCCACTCACAAGAACAAAAAATGCAAAAGGTATGCATCTCGGGCGGGCATCGGCCCAGGCTCCCTAGGAGATGCGTTCATGATACCGTGGACAGGACATCTTCTGTACCTCTTCCCTCCATTTCCGTTGATTCAGAGAACCTTGATCAGAATCAGACAACAGAGAGCGTCAGTGATACTCATAGCTCCTTTTTGGCCACGACAGCCTTGGTTTACAACGTTGCAACGGATGGCCATTCAAGTTCTCAGACTACAACCTGTCCCACACCTGTTGTCTCAGGATACCGGAAAAATTTTTCATCCCGATGTGACGTCACTCCATCTTGCTGCGTGGAGGATCTCCCTGAAATAAAGGAGGTATTGGATAAGTCCAAAAAACCCTCAACATTAATGCTCTACAAATACAAATGGAATAATTTTTTGCGATTTACAGCTGAACGTAGTCTTCAGTCTTCTCCTGTTTCTTTGCAGACCTTGCTCTTATACATCAAACATCTCTTTGATTTGGGATTAACTGTATCGACTCTGAAAGTTTACATTTCTGCTATTGTCTTTTTTCAACCTAGGAATTCTGATTCATCACGTTTTTTTTCCCATCCTACAGTCAAGGCGTTCTTGAAAGGCCTGGTTAATCTTCGTCCTCCCAGGAGACCTCCAATTCCGCAATGGTCTCTGTCATTAGTTCTACAAATCCTAATGAAGCCCCCATTTGAACCCATGGCCTCCTGTGATGTTAAATTTCTATCCTTCAAAACTCTCTTTTTGGTTGCCATCACGTCGGCCAGGAGGGCAAGTGAGTTAGCAGCACTACGAGCTGATGCTCCGTATCTGCAGTTCTACAAGGATAAAGTCATGATGTTCCCGGACGTTTCGTTCCTGCCTAAGGTGGTTTCTCACTTCCATTTGAACCAGCCTATTACACTACCGACTCTATTTTCCAATCCTTCTTCCGACATCGAAAGGATGCTTCATTCTCTAGACGTCAGAAGGGCTTTAGCTTATTATGTTTCTAGAACAAAGGATTTTCGTAAGACTGAAAGACTCTTCCTGTGCTTCTATGGAACACATATAGGTTCTCAAGCATCTTCTTCTACTTTATCACGGTGGCTTGTCTCTACTATTGCACTGGCCTATCAACTTGCTAAGTTACCCGTTCCTGAAGGTCTAAAGGGCCACTCTACAAGGTCTGTGGCTACATCTACTGCCTTACTACGTGGGGTGGATATTCCAGACATTTGCAAGGCAGCAACTTGGTCCAGGGTATCCACGTTTGTGACCCACTATCGACTGGATCTGAGGGCCAAGAAGGAGACAAGCTTTGGAAGGGCTGTTCTGGCATCTGTTTTGCAGTGACAGCCCTCCTTCCGGTGAGTTTGCTTGCTAGTCACCCAAATGTGTGATTCACAGAGTTCACGCAGAAGAAAGAGAGGTTACTTACCTGTAACCATGGTTCTTCAAGTGATACTCTGTGAATTCACACATACCCTCCCTACCTCCCCACTATCCGTCACTGCCTTTCTTATTAGAGCTCTGGCTCTGGCAATGGCGGTTATGTGGAACTAAGGGTAGGGACGGTTTGCACATGCGCGTAGAAGGGGCAATCTAACCTATGTATCTTTTCAGAATAAAGAAGAAAAGCTCTAGAAGATTCCGAAATTCTGGCGCAGGCGCAGAAGACCCAAATGTGTGAATTCACAGAGCATCACTTGAAGAACCATGGTTACAGGTAAGTAACCTCTCTGTTTACTCTACTGGTGACCTACCATGCTAAGCTACAGGGTTGATTCCATACCATGCTAAGCTACAGGGTTGATTCCATGGATAAACATGGTGATATGTACCATACAGTGGTGCCCCGCTTGACAGCGATAATGCGTTCCAGCAAAACTGCTGTACAGTGAAATCGTCAAGCAAAAGTTAAAAAAAAAACCATTGGAATGCACTGAAAATCCGTTAATGAGTTCCAGTGGGGGAAATACCTGCTCGTTTTGTGAAGATTGCCCATAGAGAACAGCCGATCAGCTGTTCTAATACGCTGTAATGCGAAGCTTCCGTCCGGAAAACACTCATTTTGCAAAGGGAAGCCATTTTACAAAGCTGGGGAAATCGTCAAGCGAAAAAACGGTTCCCGAAGCAGGGACCGAATCGATGTAAAGCGAAAAAAACCCATAGAAACATCGTTTTGCAATCGCCATAGTGATCGCAAAAAAAGTCATTGTAGAGCAATTGTGTCGTCAAGTGGGGTACCACTGTATTGTATTAATATAAAGCTGAATTAGTTAGGTATATGGCTGTGGAGCCTTGGGCAAGCAGCATAGTACTAGGGCATCCTTAGAAGAAAGGAATGAGAAACCACTTCTGAATATTCTCTAGCTGGAAAACTGGAAAAAGGGTCACCATAAGTCAGAATTGACTTGAGAATACACAAATCACTGAATCTGGCGTAGCTTTGCTTTGAGACACAGAAAGCAGAGCACCTCCCACTTTCTTTTATAGCTGTTACATAGTTGATGGGCGATACAGAAAAGCTATTATATGTATTTTTTCTTATTTTGTTCGCTAGAGATAATAAATCCTGTTTTTGGTTAACACCAAAGGGAATAAACTGAAGTAATCCAAGGCAATTTCCAGAACATTTGCACATAGCTGTTCTCCCTGTGATTGGGTTTGTTAAAAGGCTGGGACAGTTCCTCATTTGGGGGGAAATGACGATTGAGTCTCTTTGTGAACTTTAACAGATTTGACGGTTGTTGTGGGTTTTTCCGGCTCTGGCCGTGTTCTGAAAGTTCTTCTTCCTCACATTTCACAGTCTCTGTGGCTGGCATCTTCAGAGGACAGTACTCTGTGCTCTGGTGTAGTTTGCTTGGGAGTGCAGTATTTATGGCTGTGATATAGGCTTTTGTCCTATTCAGGAGATGGGTGATTGTGTCTTGTTGTGGGTGTATTGTGATAAGGAGAGATTATCTGTCACTGTGATTGATGAGTGTCATTAAGCAGATGTCATTAAGTGGTCTTTTGTGTGTACAGTGGGGTCTCAACTTAACTTAATCTGTATTGGAAGGTGGTTCGTAGGTCAAAAAGTTCGTAGGTCGAATCTGCATTTCCCATAGGAATGCATTGAAAACCATTTAATCCGTATCTGCTCTTTTCCGTCCATTGAAACTAATGGGAAGCTGCTATTCCACCTTCTACCACTAGAGGGGGATATTTTTTTTCTTTTTCCTTAGGCAGGGAACAGTTTGCAAAGCACTTTTGAAATCGTTTTTTTTTTCAACAAAGCCAATTTTAAAGCATGTTTTAAATCACTGGTTCTTAACCTTGGGTTACTCAGGAGTTTTGGACTGCAACTCCCAGAAGCCTTCACCACAAGCTAGGCTGACTGAGGTTTCCGGGAGTTGCAGTTCAAAAGCATCTGAGTAACAAAGGTTAAGAACCACTGTTTTAAATCATAGTGTGCTGATTTTTTCAGCACAAAGACACACAGGCAGGCTTTTTAGGTGCTGAGCAAGCCTCCCCAAGCCTCTTGAGCCAGCCGATCAGCTGATAGGCGGGGAGAGGAGGGTGCAGGAGCGGGGGGAGCACAAAATGGCTGCCAGGCTCCCTTCTGGTATGGGCTTTTAGCTGTTTCCTGCTTTTTCCTGCTGTTTGGGGGCCACCAAGGCCTGGTAAGTGACTTTCTTTTATTTATTTTTAAGTTCCTGACCTTTTTTCCCTCTCCAGAAGCCTCTAAGGGGAGGGGGCACTTTTTTTCCTGTTCGTAACTCGAGGGAAGTTAGTATGTCGAGTCCTTTTTTTCTCTATAGGGTGGGTTTGTAAGTTGAATTGTTCGCAAGTAGGGTCGTTCGTAAGTCGAGGCCCCACTGTAGTGATCCCCGGTCCTTGTGGATGGGGAAGAGTCCGTTGACCTTTTGCACACTGTATTTTTCAGAGCTGGGAGCCAAGCTTTGTTGAATTTGAAACTTTCCTCTTTTTTGTTGAAGTTCTGCTGGTGCTTGTGGATTTGAAATCTGTTTCAAAGACCTTTATTTAGAGCACTGGTTCTTAACCTTGGGTTACTCAGGAGTTTTGGACTGCAACTCCCAGAAGCCTTCACCACCAACTGTGCTGGCTGGGGTTTCTGGGAGTTGCAGTTCAAAAGCATCCGAGTAACAAAGGTTAAGAACCACTGATTTAGAGCATGTTACTATAGTCTCTCAAGACTGGATGCCTAATCCAAGTGGTTCCAAACCTTGGCTTGAACTGCAATTCCCAGCCTTCACACAGCTGTGCTGGCCAAGGCTTCTGGGAGTTACAGTCCAAGAACATGTGGGTTAGCCAAGGGTGGGAACTACTGGTATAGGCTACGACTATAATAGCAACATTTTCATACTAGCAGGAAAGAGTTGGCAAAACATGGGCTTCCTCTCCTACTTTAACCTTTCCCTGTTAATTCACAGGCAATAAAACTTTCATCAATGGATGTACAATTAATTTAGTGGAACAGTTACTACTATTTCAAACACAGCATGACTATCAAGGCCATACACCTGCCTAACAAGAATTTCTTAAAAACTTTTAAGCTTTTGACTTATACTTTGAAGATAATCTTGAGTACAGCCAAATGCCTGGTGTTAACTAAGGAGCAATAATGATACTTTAGTAAGTGCAAGTGGGCACAGCAGATTATGAATCAGGTTTGATCTCAGTTAAACGCATATAACTGGGCTGGTAGACTCCTTCCTTCTCCATGATAGTGGACCATGGCTCTTCAGCAGCATGTACGAAAACCTCAATCTCTCTTGTTAACTATGTTCATGCCATTAATGTGCAAATTTCACCAGTGTGAGCTGCTCCACCACCAATGCTGATCAGAAATGATTCACACAACTCCTGTATTCATGGTCACAATTTATTTAAAAAAGGAGAATAACATTAAAGCCTAGAGCAGTTGTCTTTGTACAGAATATCAGAATGAAAAGATGGGATTTATCAAAATATTAACAAACTGTGCTGTCCATTTTTTTATTTCAAGAGCTAGATCAATGGACTGAACACAACAGTATGAAAAGAAATCTACAGAGCTAATTACAAAATAAATATTTAAACATGTTAATTGCTTTTATTGACTGACACAGTCATATATCAACCTACAAAATTGTAGCTATTTACATCTTCCCTTTTAATGGGGAAAAGAAAGGGTGTTTTAATGCTTCTGCAAGTGTAATTCTTTTGGCAGGGTCATACTCCAACATTTTCTGAATGAGATCAAACAGCTTTTCATGGTCAGCATCATGGCACTGCATGAATTCCTGGAGGATGTAAAAAAATATAAAAATAAGGACCATTCAACTCAATTGACAGGGGAAACTTCTGTAACACTGAAGTTTCAACATTCTCTCTTACCTTCAGTGGTTTACAACGCCGTGATACATATCTGCCAGCAGAACTATGCTCATCCCAATCCAACTGGTCATGGTGGAAGTACTTGCGTTTTCTGGTTAAGTACAAGGTTAAGTTTACTTTAGGATAGTTCTATAGAGTGCTGTTTATATAAAATATTGGACATGGACTATAAAAGCATTGACAAACTTATTTGCAAGAACACTGGGGTAGGAAACTTTTTCAGAACTATATGCACTCAGTGTAAGACTGAGCAAAATAACAACATCCTTGCTGAAATAACTGTTAAGCAAAAAAGCAGCAAGAATCTTTAAACAATCTAAAACTGGCACGTTCAAACTGAGAGCAGCAACTTGTCCCCACTCAGATGCATCATCACTCCACCTCTATCATGTGAAAAGACCCAAAGACAAGCTCACTGTACATGGAAATAAAGCTTATTTCTGCAAATTTGAATTCAATTCAGAGTAAATTTTTGACATAGCTTTCTGTAATACTTATGTACAAGACTTCTAAGAGAAGTACCCACATCCTTGCAGAATTGCTACTTCAGGCATAAACCCACTTTGGGTACTTTGATTCCATACAATGCAACCAGAAGTTGCATGTTTTGATTAACACACTATCTGATGAGGACTGCCTTTTGAATAGTAATCAGACAAGTCAGACTTCTTAGGGTAGATACAAAAACTGTTGGCACTGTGTTACATTGATATGGGGAGATGGCACTCAGAAAAACAGCTTAAAAACATTACCTGCTTTTCTGAACCATGTGAATAGGTAATGGTCCCAGTATCTTTTGCATCATTGCCAAATGTTCTTTGCTGTCATGTGTCTAAAGGAAAAGAGAAAGTCATTATTTAGTATTCTTGAAAAATTACTGGAAAACTAAAGCTAAAACTCTTGATTAGATAAAGGGTATATTTGTTGGTTCTGCTGGCAAACACACAGCTTTATGGAAAGCTAGTCCCTTTTTCCAGGAAAAGCCACTTAACGAACTTTTAGCTGAATTCAGCAGCCCTCCATAATGGTTCAAAGGATATGACCAGACATATCAATGCCAGCAGATATACTCTGCGTACAGTAGTGGTGCAAAAAAAAACATACACCAGCCAAGGTCCTGAGACTAGAGAGCAACAGAGCTAACTCCATATGAACAAGCAGTTTTTTTTCCTCCTATTCTTTAACTGAAGGCATTTCTGAAGCTAAATTACTCAAGTTTCACATGCAACAGGCCCCTTCCACTGGTAGTTTTTAAATGATCATTGAAACCTGCCTTTTTAGACAGGCCTTCCTGGAATTGACAACATCATAACAGCAGTTATCTCAGTGTTCATATTATCAGTTATGCCACCATGCCTTTAAATTACTTTTAATTATTCCCAGTTAATTCTATGTTGCTTTTGCGTATGTGCTTTGTTGTTTAATTTTAATTTGCTATGTTTTGTTTATTGTTCTTAAATTGCTGTCTTTTATGTTTTGTATTGTAAACCACCCAGAATGGCCTTGGCAGCCAGATGGGCGTAGAAAAGATAGGTAGATACATAAATAAATATCTGCCGCTGGAAAACAAACAAACACAAACAATTCATTTCTAAATATATTTTGGTTAAATATCATAGATGGGTTAGTAGAATAACACAATAGGATTCAACCCTCTAATCTGTGTACCAGTAAGACTTTAAAGTCTCATTTTACTCAGATGTAAACTAGCAGTAGTGTTTTAATGAAAAATGCTACATTTTAAAAAGCTTCCCACTAAAGATCATCACCTGTGTCTCTGCAACAAACATTTCTGTGGTCACTTACCGGAAATACTGTGAATCCAAGGTAATACTCAATAAGAATGCAACCAATACTCCACACATCACATGGCTGTGACCATCCCAAAGCTGTGGGAAGACATTAAAAATGTGAACTGTTATTCCATCCACTACAACTTAGGTTTACTGATCTGAACATGAACTGCTCTTCAGAAATTTTCTAAATATGCAGATTTTTTAAACTGAAAAATCATTAAGTAACATTACTGAGAATCCCCCAACACTTCCAATGTAAGAACAAAATAACACTAACAAATAGTGTGGCAAGTTAACCAGAAATGAAATTAAAATTTATGGCAACAAATACAGCAACCAAAACAAACAGAAAGCTCTTCAGCAACTCCAGGGCTGCAACCCTAAGCATACTATTTTAAAGCATGTTCCAGAAATGACACGTCTTCTACTCACCCAAAATAACTTCAGGAGCTCTGTAATGCCTTGTAGACACAAGAGTACTGTGATGTTCATAGTCATATGTTGCACTCCCAAAATCTACAACTTTAATATCTGGATTTTTCAATGTGCGTTGATCTCGTTTCTAAAACACACAAAAAAATTACTAAGCATATAAGCAAAAAAGTGTATACAATGAATAGTTTTTCACACTATGAAACTGGATTTACCAATTTGTGATTATATTCTTCTATGTAGTCAGACTCCACAAATAATATGTTTTCAGGCTTCAGATCCGTGTGAGTTAGTTTATGTGAATGCAGAACTATGGGGAGAAAAAGTGAGTTACAATTATTATTCCTCCTCTGAAAATTACTTTCAACTTTAAGGGTCTATCAAAGTTAGAACCAAAAAATATTTTATACATTTTACTGTTTACAGCATAAGCATTAATATTTTACTCAGAAGCCACTTTCATACACATTTTTCTTTCTTTTTAAGTTAAATATACAAATGTGATATACTGTATTTTTCTCTTAGCCTTTAACTAGCCTTGAGCTTTGGAAAGAAAGAGCTTAGAAATTATAATAAAGTATCCCATGTATACTTACAGTTTACAGATTTACAAATCTGGTATGCCATTTTTCTGATGTGATCCAAACTGAATGGCTGAAAACTGTTTTCTTTAATGAAATCATAGGTACTAAGTCCCAGAAGTTCAAACACAATGCAAACATGACCATGATATTCAAACCATTCCAACATCTGGACACAGCGACTGTAAATGCAAAGAAGGTCTTTAGGAAGATGTTCCCAGATAAAAGATGCAGAATATAAACACAACTGAAAAACCTACAAATTAACATCATGGCTACTTTACAAAAGGAAAGAAAGACACTGTTACTTAAGAAACATTTTAGTTTTATTTTTTTTCAAAAGTGAGTTACCAAAAATTACATATTTTCTACTTCATAATATACTTACAATTTGTTATTAGGATCTGTTGCTTTTAAGTGCTCCAATACTTTTATTTCTGAACGAGCTGCTTCAGAATATCTATCAACATTCTTTACTATTTTTACTGCCACATGTCTACCACACCTAAAAAATGAATTTCAGAGTCAGTAAGCATGGAGTTATAGAATAATTCCTTCAAAATAAATTTTATAATAAAAGTTTCTATTATTTTAAAGAAAGAACCAATATTCATTTAATACACTATTTTTCAAAACATGTTTTCTTGGGAGGAGTGGAGAAAATACAGTAATTAATTTCAGCAACTTTACTATATCTTGAAGGAAACGTATTTACCTTTTCTGAAGCCCAAATAGGGTATAAACCCTACTATAAACCCTAAAAAAATAACATAACACTGCTCTGAGGCAAAATGCAACACTGGCACATACTAAATTCAAATTCTCCCGAAGCTTGCAATTTATATAAGAAAAACAAATATTTACACACATGAAAAAGTGGAGAAACCCATATAAAAGCAGAAATAACAAATGTTAGAAAAGTGGAAAACGAACGGTGGAATGCCCCAATGAAAACTGGACATACTTGGTATGAGGACCAGGGTAGGAAAAAGAACCTCCCAAAAAAAAGAAAAACAGAGCACCCTGAACAGAGTGATCCACACAGCATTATTTTACTTTATATCCCACTTGTTTAACTTTTATTATTACTATTCCTACACCATTGATACTGATGAAACCTTACAAACTAATTCAAAAAAGGACATTCCATTTTCTTGCAATGAAAATTTCAACAGTCTGAGACACATCAATTGGATGAAAGATAGATAGATAAATGCATAAAAATGCAATTTACACACATTTACGTCTCTTTCTGAAGTGGGGATGACAGGACTTAAACCAAAGGCTTCATGGGAGGTGGGTTTTCAGAAAGAAATTCAAAGAGACATGACACAATACAAGACTTATGAAAATACCAATGTTAAAGAGCAAGAAAGCAAAAATGGAACGTGCACAACATAAAGATCACCTACGAACAGAACTTACGCTTTGTGATCAATGCATTCCACTACTTTTCCAAAAGCACCTTCACCCAAGATGGAGATAATTTCATCTAAAAACAGGAATGGAAATCAATTATACGAGTAGTGACAAATTGTAATTATTAACACACCATGCTATGTAACAGGCTGTGCCGCTATATAAAGTGTAACTAAATGTATTTAAAACATTTAATTGGACATCTCTTCAAGATAATTACACCTAGCTTATTCTAAATTAGCTGTTTACTCTTTTGTAAAATTCCAATTAACGTTTAACTTCTATATAAATATAAACCCCCCCAAAGAAAAAAAAGAAAAAACACAGAATGGAAAACAAAACAAAACAAAGAAATAAAAGGACTTCCAAAAACTCCTGACTTCTTATCTAAAAGAAATTATTCTATCTGAAAAGTGAATAAGTTTTGAAAAATATTCTATACATCTTGCACTTAGTACGTCTCCACTCTGACAGATCAGGTGACCCTCCTCATCATCCTCTACACTCCTCGATCTTTTTCTTCGGTGACTCCTCTGGTAACGGCAAGTGCGCAGCACCAAGATCATCCAGCCAATCAATAAACCCGAGTGAATTCAGGGCAGAATACGAAATTCATTCAGCAGGGAGATATTCAGGCATTCAGATACGCGCCAGGCCACAAACGGTTGGCAGGAACAATTTCAAATTCCCCAGAATTTCACAGGGCAGATAGTTTAGGTTACAGGAGAAAAACATGGCAAGGAACAGATTTTCAGATAAGGTACTTCAAGTGGCAAGGCATCAATACACAATATATATGCTTTAAAAATATGGTTCACTAGAAAAATGATATATTTTAAAATTTGCAATTAAAATCTCTGCTCCTTAAAGCTGTTATGTTCTTGACCCATGCCGGATCACTATGTAGGTCTCACAAGGGAGTTCACAAAAATTTAAGGAATTTAAAGTACAACTCACATATATCTCATTTATTTATAGTTCCCTGTGAGTAATAACATAATTTACAAAGCTATTTAACTACATACACACCTACTGAAAATTTCTGTCTTACATTCAAATCATATACATTCCTGTGCTTGTAGACCCTTTCCCTGCAGCTAATAGGTGAGCAGCACTATCAGCTCTGACAGTGATGATCACCAATCAGAACAGTGGAAAGAGGGAAGAAAAACATGAAATATGCTATCAAACTGATATTCCAACATCACTAATACATGCAAATCCCACCCTAAAAGAGCAAATCTGATAGTCTGGTAGCACAGATGTGCACACACAAAACAAATCCATACAAGATCTCCCCAGCCAATTTAAAATGGCTGTTTTCTCTGACTTGCTCACATCAGAAATTATACCCATCTAAGTAAGGAGACATTCAATACTAAAGTGTCCACCAAGATTTGTTTACAAGACATTTATTCCACTTCATCTCTGCACTGCCAATAAGACCTCTTTGGTTTTATAAGAACAAATACAAAACACCTACAGTCACAGCTTCTATCAAATTTGCCAAAATATACCTTATAACTGCATTTTCAGCAGACACCTTATTCAGGAAGCCAAAAGATCAGTGGAATACTGTCTGATAAACAAGTAATAATAATCATTCTAAACAAATATTCACCCAATGTTAAGCAGCTTTTTTTATTTGAGGAACAGAAGACCTAACAGCAGAAATCATACATTTTTAATATTAAAATGCATTTCCAATTCCCTTTATTTGCCTGTTATTATCCTGATGAACAGATATATGTAATCATGTACAAAATCTTCTAAATCATACATACCGTGTGTGAATGATGTGAGTTACTATGATGAGTCCTGTGTTTTCTTTTGTAACTGCTTCTGCCACTACGCCCTGATGACTTGCTACTGTGGTGGTGACCATTTTCATGGTCTTTGCAATGGTGCCTGGTTTCAGACAGCTGACTGTAATTGTTCCTGTATTCTTCAACATAGCGACGTTCATAGGGATCTCTTTCATGGAAGGAGGTGGCATCTGAACAAAGGCTAGGGGCAAAACCACACATGCACACTACTCATTCTCCTGCAGAACACACCACAGTTCTTGTACACAAATATCCAATTTGAAAACTGACATATGCAGAAGCTGCAAACTATCAAGCATACAGCTACCTTTAATTAAATCACAATTAACACTTGAAAAACAAGCTTACCATAACTAGGAAAGAAAACACCTTACCTATCGTTTGTTTGAGTGTCCTCATACTTGTAGCGCTTGCTCTCATATGCGCTGCTGTATGATTTTCTTTTTCTCTTATGATGGCTGCTACCTTTTTGGGGATCCAAACATTGTTTGTCATCCCAGTTAGAATAGTCGGTTCGTTTCGAGTACCGCATCTGCAAATACGAATAGGGTAACAAATCTTTAGTCATGAGAATACAATACAAAAAGCGGCGAACTGCGGCAATTACAATACTTGATTCCTACGCGTTACAGAGAAATGGCTATAAAACACCTCCCACAAATCTGTCTATTTCGCCGAAAACACAAGGGCCCCGCTGAGGCGACGCTCCTTCAGAGGGCAAGCGCACGGGGCAAGGACGCAGCTCGGCCGCCGAAGCCATTTCCTCACCTTCTGGGACAGGAAGAAGGACAACATGGCGGGCCGCCGCCTGGTGGGGGAGGGGAAATCCGCGAGGAAGGCCCCAGAAGAGTCCCTTCTCCGCCACCTCACCAGGAACGCTCTGAGAAAAAGGCCTGCAAACACACACACACACACTCCCGCCCACCGCGCGCCTCCTCTGGGGCCAGAGGCTTCTTCCTTTCCTCAACGCAGCCCTTCTGGGAGTCCTCCAGGCCCCCCCAAGCACCACCTCTTCGGTCATTCCCCCACCCCGCTTCGAGACCCCCTCAAGGGCAGGGACGCAGCCACGCTCAAGACTTACTGCTGCTTTGGGAAGGCGACGCCGCTCCGCAAAACAACCGCAATCCGCCGCTGACGACCTTTCTCTCGCCAAACAACGACGAAAACAGCTCTCAACGACAAAATGGCGCCGGCTAACGACCTGGAGGGGCAGGGAAAGGCGTCACAATGGATTACGCATGCGCAAACGTATCCCAGCTCCCGCGGGGGGGTACTATTGCGTCACCTCGTGGGCGGGGTGGCGGTTTTTTTCCGGACGGTTTCCTTCCGCCCCTCAGGAACGGTTCGGTCGTGTGAATTCCTTGGGCAGCCGAAGAGGCCTCGGAGTCGGGTGGGGGAACAGGGTGGCTCTTTATTGCCACGACAGCCGGCCCTCCCGCCGCTTGAGCGGCTTTTTGCTCGGCGGAATTGGAATTCTTGATTGGCAATCTAAACAACTCAAGGAGGCAGTGGGTGTTCCTTCATTCGTAACTCTTAACGACCGCAGCCCCATCTTGGATTTACTGTTTGTTTTTGAGGTGCCAGGTGATGGGATGGATCTGCCCTGCCCTGCCCTGCCCTGCCCTGCTCGGGTGTGGGATCAAGGCATCCGCTGACCCATCCGAGCCTCTAAGGGAGAAGAGTGCCTTATTAACCTGCCCACATGGTTTGTTTTTGAGGTGCCAGGTGATGGGATAGATCTGCCCTGCCCTGCCCGGGTGTGGGATCAAGGCATCCGCTGACTCAGCCGAGCGTCTAAGGGAGAAGAGTGCCTTATTATCCTGCCCACATATTGACTCTGACACACAGCATTTCTTTAAACCCGCCATTAATAACGATGGGTCGCCTTTACATTTTTTGGCAGACTATATATTCGATGTTTTGAAACACAGGAACCCAGGTTGAGTAGGCCACGAACTCGTTGCTTTCTTGGCTGCTTCTTGCTAAAGAAGGAAGGGGCTGGGGAAGAATACTGGCCGTTCGCTGTTGCTCCCTTTGTACTGTATCTTAAATGGGGAAAGTGCTGTTAGGGAGAACTGAGGGGTTTGGGTGAGTTCTCACTGTTGCCTTGCAAGACAGCAAATAAACTGCAAAATTTCAGAGTTATTTTTCTTGCTTCTACAATGCCCCGGATGTCTAAACATCGGGCCACATACAGTACCGATTGGTTTTTCAATTTAGGTTGTCTTGAGATGAAGGCTACTGTCTACATGAATCTCTGGTATTGCCAAGTGTGGTGTAGTCAAGTGGATAGTGACTAGGACTTAGGAGGCCTGAGTTCAAATTGCCACTCAGCCATGCAGACTCACTGGAGCATGGAACTGGTAAAACCACTCCTTAAATCTCTCTTACCTTGAAAACCCTATTAGGGTCACTAGAAGTCAGTTCGAACTTGACAGCACACAACACGTGTAGTACTGGTATGGGATTATGCCCAACATTCAAATTCAAATGAGCAATGGCTGACCCTAGATATCGGAAAACATAAAAATCAGTTGTAAAATAGCTCTCTCTCACCAAAGCAGAGAGATACCTATTGATGAGCAAGTCTGAGAGTCCATAGAACCTGTTGTACCACCTGTTCAACCAGATCCCAGACTGGAAAAGGTGACAGTTGACACATGAGGGTTGCCTTCTAATACAACCAGAAGCCAAGCCATCACAGGGATGCTGGTTTATCATATAGAAACAGTGTGCTGATACATATTGTCTAATCACTTACATGGTGTGCCTTTATTGTTGTTTGAACACCTCCACTCTGGGACTATCCACACACACTTCACAAAAGGCAGAGCAGAAAAAACAGTACAGCAGTCTTTCCTATGACTTGATGGAAAGGAAACCAGCCAGAACAGCAACATGTATAGTTATTCCTGCCGAATATGTGGCTAGTCACATGGCACATACCAGCATGCTGCTCATACTTGATAAGCCATAGTTTGAGAATACGTCAGTGTATTTCAGAAAAGCAACTATTATATCAAAACAAAAGAATTTCCAGCCAGAAAAAGATATTTTTTAAAAAACATTTATTTCCTCAATTTTTTATTAAAAATAAGCACTTAAAAAACTAGAGACATCAAAAAACTGGCTTTCTCTCCACAGTGTGTGTGAATTAGAAAATCTCAGAAGTCCTTCATTATAGAAATACATGCAGGAATCCATCTGTCTTTTGAAGCCCCACGGAAAGTCCTTCAGAAATCAGTTTCAGAAATACTGCAGCTATTGAGCAAAGGGATTAGCATGGATTGTGACATCTTTAATATGGACATCACTAAGGGGACGGAATGTCTTTTCATTCACTGGCAATTTCTCCAGTTCATCCAGGGTATCCAGACCATCAATTACCCTGTGTAGGAAATGATAAACAGTTACAAAAATCTTTTTGCACAGAAAGATACACATTTTATATTTCAAATGTTTAGCTACCTAGAAGGAACAAAGAGTCTTATGCACCTGATTCCCTCTATGGACCAGTGGCATCAGGAGAGGGGACACCTCTGATAATGTTGGATGACAGCTCCCCTCACTCCTAAACACTGCCCATGCTGGCTGGGGCTGACAGAAAGAGAGTCACAGACTCCCCGCCAGTTTTGTATGCTACAGGACAGTTGCAACATTAAATATTTTCATTGGAAGTTAATAAATTTCAGTGGAATTTTCTCCCAACCGAATGCACAGACTGCATGAGGCTGTTGATTAAAATGTTTAGGTGTCCTTTGATTATTACATCTGTAAATACTCCGAGAACAACTCAGATAAAGGGAAAAGCTTGTAAATTTAACTTTTGGTTAGCAGGTATTAAGAATAATAAGCATAACTGAAAGCAGAATTAGAAACACTTAAATATTCGCTTAAGGGATGTGGTGGCTCTGCGGGTTAAACCACAGAAGCCTCTGTGCTGCAAAGTCAGAAGACCAGCAGTTGTAAGATCGAATCCACGCGACGGAGTGAGCTCCCGTTGCTTGTCCCAGCCCCTGCCAACCTAGCAGTTTGAAAGTATGTAAAAATGCAAGTAGATAAATAGGTAACACCTTGGTGGGAAGGTAACGGCGTTCCGTGTCTAATCGCGCTGGCCACGTGACCATGGAAACTCTACAGACAAACACTGGCTCTATGGCTTGGAGACGGGGGGGAGCACCATGCCCGAGAGGCAGAAATGACTGGACTAAATGTCAAGGGGAACCTTTACCTCTACCTAAACATTGGCTTAAGTTAGTGTAAGAAGGCCTAACTATGCTGGACTGCAATTTTCCATTACTTTATTTCTGTGTAGCAATAAATTGTTTGCCACAGGTTATGAAGAAGAGTTTTTAAGTTATAACTATTACTGTATTTTATTTCTATTTTTGCTATACAGATTGTAACATGCATCCTAAACCAGCCATTCTCAACCTTGGGTAACCCTGGTGTTCTTGGACTGCAGTTGCCAGAAGCCTTTACCACTATCTGTGCTGGCAGGGGTTTATGGGGGTTGCAGTCCAAGAATACCTGGGTTACCCAAGGTTGAGAATGGTTGCTTTAAACCATGAGTGGACAATCTGAGCCCTCTTGTGTTTGCTGCATTGCTACTTCCAGAATTCCCCACTACTGACAATAATTGGTCACCCCTGTTTTGAATGCATGTGCGGAAGCATTGTGAACAAACAACACATAGTGCAAACCAATCCACATACATTCAGCTGTAAATCGTACACTTACTCCTATGCAGTTCATAAGTGTACACTATACAGAATGCCAGCCAAAACCTGCCACCGTGAGCAGCGGGTACAATACATCACCAGAAATCAAGGATGTTTCCATTTATGTACCAGGAAATTGAAAAAAGGAAGTAAAAAACTTATTTAATAACAGGTGCTTTAAACAGCTTGTCCCCCACAACCTTCTTTGTCCATCTGCCTTAAACTAAAACTCAGCTAGAGCTGCAACTGTAAACTAACTAGGGAGCAATTCTAATACAGTGGTGACCCGCATAGCGACGTTAATCCGTTCCGGATTAATCGTCACTATCCAGAATCGTCGCTAAACGGAACTAAAAACCCCATAGTTCCTATGGGGTGAAAACTCACAGTTCAACGAAGATCCTCCATAGCGCCGCCATTTTCGCCACCTCGGTAAGTGAGGAAACCGCGCAAAAATGCTTGCGGCGGCCATTTTGGGCACCCAGCAGCCATTTTGGAATCACCGATCAGCTGTTCTAAAAACATCGCAATGAGATGTTTTCCCATTCAATAGATCGCTATGCGGATTCGTTGTTAAACGGTGCGCTCGTTATGCGAGGCACCACTGTACAGTGGTAAAAATCCTATTGCATAATTACGCAAAAGGCATAGCTTTTAGAGGCAAACTGCTGTTAGGAAATCTCTATAGATACTAGCTGTTCTATGCCAATTTGCACGATTCAGTGTGAAATGGAGACTGCTGAATGTATGGCAATTCACCTTTAAAAGGTATGCAGAAGGCATGAACAGGATTTCAGCCAATGGGGTTTACTTCAGAAGAATTAGGCTGTAGTTCAGTGAGATCATATGGCCCTCTAAACTACTGTAAGATTTTTTTCCCCTGAAAGGTAATTCTGTCATTTAAACCAGGAGCAACCAACTATGACACCACTACCTCCACTGTTAGGCTGTAACTATGGTAAGCCCTAGGAACCATAGCCAATGATGAGGAATTCTAGGAGCTGCAATCTAGTGACATCTGGAAAGCCACACTTTACCCAGATGGGTCTTTGAACAAAGGTGTATTTTTTTTAATTTGCTACTTTATCTGCATTTTCATATTACATTTCATGGCAATGTCTCAATTCAGCTACAGTTGACCTTTTCTTAATTTCTTGTTTTCCATTAAATTAATATCACCTCCGAGATTTGGGAATCAATTATTTCCTTAATCATGTGAGTATCACATCACCTCCAAAATGTCAACTTTTCTGATCTGTTTTACAGCGGCTCCAAATTATCCTGAACCAAGCAGGTGGGCTGCACAAGAAGGCCCTCTTCAAACTTCTGGAATATCATCCTTCAATTATTTATATTGTTAGGTTCAACAACTTACTTCCCAAATACAGTATATTTCATATCCAGATGTGGCTGTTTGCCATAGGTGATGAAGAACTGAGATCCATTTGTATTTGGACCATTATTTGCCATAGAAACAACTCCACGGACGTTGTGCTAAAAGAGAAAGACACACAAAACAGAGCAACACACACTCATTTGTAGGTGGAAGTTATTTTCCCTTTTTTGTGGTTTGTGACATTCTTCTTTTACCAAATTATATCGACGCACCTTATAGTAAGAAATCCCAGAAAACAATAATTTATGTAGGCCTGGTTCATGTTTAAATTGGATAGTTCTCTTTGACCCCTCAAAAGATATGCTCCACCCCTGCAACACCACCTCCCCACTCCAAACTGTCCTCGGGCCAAGGTGACAGCTCAGGGGCCAAGGAAGCAGCTTCACATTTTTCTTTTTTAATTTCCTGCCCTTTTATTTCCGACCTGAGAGGCAGCACTAATTGTTCACTTTTATCTGTTGTTGTAACTGTTAAGACTTTTAGATGCTCTAAAATACAATCCTTTGCATGGATAGAGCTACTGATTATCTCTGTGCTCCAGCATGTGTGCATTTGTGTGTTTCCAGTTATCAAGATTCTTATGGCCTGCCCTCATAATGCAAAAAGTATATTTTTGCTTTCTAATTTACAGAAGCAAACATTGCCTCTTTCATGTCAATTCCCATGCTTCACTAAGAAACTGCTTAGTAAATGTCCCCTTAGAAACTTCACTACATGAAAAACCTAAGTACTTGTCCAATGAAGTGGGTTTGCCCGCAGACGTTCACATTAAAAAAATACAAAAGTTAGTCTTTAAGGTGCTACCATATTTTTCTCTCTTTTTTTTAACTTTTTATTTCTATTTGTTTTACTTATAATGCTAAGTACTGCAGTGTGCAGATTTCCTGGTTGCTATGACAATGAGGAGTGTTCAAATGGATTGCACAGTTTGGCTGTGTACATGGCTCTTCAGTGCCTCTGCCTTACAGTGGACTAAACACAACACCTTTGTAGAAAGACATGACAATGATAATAGTGATTAATGCTACCACATATTTTGTGGCCAGGAACCAGCCACAATGTCAGTCTGATTAATTTATGCAAATAATATTTACACCAAAGTTCTCCCTAAGCTGAATGCTTTTAATAAAATCAAAACCACAACCAAGTATGTGATGGATAGCATGGTTAGTATTATGCCACTGATTTGCCATCTCCAGTAGCTTTCAGCCCATGTTTGAATAAAATTCAAAATTGCTTCCTTAACCTTAAGGAAGGTGGGGAACTTTGGCCCTCCATCTGGAATCCCAAGCGGGGGAACCACTGTTCTGCTCACTATGCTGGGGATGCTGACACTTTTACCAGAGACAAAGAAAAGATCTGATCTGCAGTGCACAGTTGCACGAAGCTCAAAGCAACTTCTTCACAAAATACAAAATATGGGGGGAAAATTGAAAGAACAAAACATACCTTTAAGTATTCACTATACTCATCTTCAAATTTTCTACCCCAAATACTAATTCCTCCTTTTCCAGAACCTGAAAGAGCAGGAGAAGAGGGGCAGAGGGGAAATGAAAAGTTTGACAAATCGAGACACTGGGTCACTCTCTCATTTGTCCGGAAGAAAAAGCTACCTACTCCTACATGTTTTCAGCAAACTGACAAGGGCTCAGCCAAACAGAAAGGCATCCTTATATGAGCATGAAAGCAAAATAGTCCCTTTCTTGAGGGTGAAGAAAGTGGACTAACAAATACCTATACTCAGAAACATATTTTTCTTTAAATTTAACAAGCAGCTGCAAAAGGTTTGCTGAAAATTGTGTTGAAAAATACTTGAGCAACCTTGACAGCTACCCGTAACAATGGAAATATATTGCAAGGGAAGAGAAATATATTTCAAGACTGGAAGATTAAATTATCTATTTTAAAAACTATTTCTCTGTTCAACTGGTACTCACTGGTTTTTCATAACAGAACAGAATGGGTGTTCAGGTGGTCTCCTAGGCCAACCTGCTCATCCTCAGCAAGGTTCCTTACAGGTCATCAGCAGGTGCAATTGGACTAGTGGAAATATAAAATTACCTACCCCAGACAAATATATCTGACGTTCTTCCTATTTTCTTTCAAGCAGTCCCTCAAGGGATCTTTATTTCAATTCACCATTGATTAGGAATCAAAACTGCTTTTACTATGACTGATTTTGTTTAAATTTGTTTGTAGAATACCTTGTAATCTGCGTTTACCTGCAGGCACTAGAATGCATATTATGCTACTATTAACTATATTCAGGTTTTAAGGAAAAAAGGTTTAAGTTTATTGCTATTTCAATAATATTAATGGCTCTATTGCTTCAGATACTGTATGAGCTTTTATAAAAATAGTTTGATTTGGAAACACTTCTAATTTTGAAAAGTCACATACATATTACTTTAATAAAACAAGCAAACTTTTAACAAAATGAAGTACCTGTTGGATCACCTGTCTGCACCATAAAGCCTTTGATATTTCGGTGAAAAATACAGCCACTGTAGTAGTCGCTAGCACAGAGAGCCAGAAAATTCTGCAGAAAGAACAAGAAAGCTAGTTAAGAAATAACGCAGCAATGATACACAATCTATGAGAGAGACACACATTTCAAGGCCCAGTGCGAACACAACTTTTTCTGGAAATCACAGTCAACTAAGGTTCAGTGAACCACAGAAAACCTAAGGGCTCATGTACATGGGAAAACAGCAGACATTTAAAGGCAACCAAGCTCAGTAATAGTAAATTGAAAACAAGGTTGAGAAAGTATGTTTAAAAAGCAAGTAAAGAATAGACAATAAACTGATAAAATAAGAAAACCTGGGAAGCAGAAAAATTAACACTTTTTAAAGCCCATAAATGATAAACCTCTGCATAAAGACCTCATTAATATGATGATATCTTTTGACTCTCTGTCTTCCCCTCTGCTTGAAAACTGGACATCATCATGACTCTTCTAACTTTGAATGCAGCAGTTCTAACAGCCATGTTCTGCTGCATCTCAAACAATCTCCAAGGGGCTTCACCCAAGACATTTTTCTCCTTCCTGAACTACTTTACCATGGATGACCAGCAGTGACAATGTGTACATTTCATTTCTCATTATATGACAAAGTATTCTAACTTTTTACATTTTGTATTTTACATTTTACGATTTCTTGGTCTTTAGCCATTCATGTCCATCCTTTGTTTTGTTGGCATAAACGTTCATGGACCAGACCTCTTCTGCAATTGCATTTTCAGGTGCACTTCAGAGACGGAGACAGAATAGAGTCTATAAACTCTTATACAGTGGTGCCTCGCATAGCGAGATTAATCCGTTCCGGATTAACCTTCCCTATAGCGAAACATCGCTGTGCGGAAATAAAAAAGCCATAGAAACGCATTGAACTTCGTTCAATGCGATCCTATGGCTTGAAAACTCACCACTGTGCATTTTTAAAGCCCATAAATGATAAACCTCTGCATAAAGACCTCATTAATATGATGATATCTTTTGACTCTCTGTCTTCCCCTCTGCTTGAAAACTGGACATCATCATGACTCTTCTAACTTTGAATGCAGCAGTTCTAACAGCCATGTTCTGCTGCATCTCAAACAATCTCCAAGGGGCTTCACCCAAGACATTTTTCTCCTTCCTGAACTACTTTACCATGGATGACCAGCAGTGACAATGTGTACATTTCATTTCTCATTATATGACAAAGTATTCTAACTTTTTACATTTTGTATTTTACATTTTACGATTTCTTGGTCTTTAGCCATTCATGTCCATCCTTTGTTTTGTTGGCATAAACGTTCATGGACCAGACCTCTTCTGCAATTGCATTTTCAGGTGCACTTCAGAGACGGAGACAGAATAGAGTCTATAAACTCTTATACTACTAAAATGCGTTCATCTTTAAGATGTCACAAGATTCTGTTGATTTTGCTGCAAACCTTGATTAACAAATCTAAAAGGCTTTGGTTATTGGGTCAATTACGGTATACTGTGATATAAAGGCTATTGAATCATGAAAACACCCAACCTAGCAGCTTCAAGCAGGAGTCACTAAACCAGCAGAACACGGATACTTGCTTACATTACAAACAGCCAGTTTTATAGTTCCATTACATACTTCACAAGCCTTGGGTGTTCGTTCACAGAATAGCTCTATTTTAATATCTCCCACATCGGTGTGCAATGTCACAGCCTGTGGATTAGAGTGATGAGATAAATTATTAATTCAGATAATTTAATTGAATTATTACTTTAGTTTTTCCACCAACACATTAAAAAGAATCCCCAATTAAATCCATACAGTTGAAGATGAACTGATAAGAGGAATGAGATCAACATACACAAAGTGATTACACCACCCTAAATGATTTACATGGCTCCACCATTGAGCTCAGAATACTAGAAAGTAAATGTTTTATATTGCCCATCAAATAAGCAGATTTTCTTGAGATGCTATTCCCTTTGCAAGAAATGAAGATTCATATAAAAATCATAATTTAAGATACAGCCAAGTCTGGCCCAAGACATTTCGCTATTCAGGCAAAAGCCAAGATGGCACCTTCCTCCATTCCGTGTGCAGAAGCTGCCTTGACTTCATCCCTCCACCACCCTGGAGAGCAGCAGGTCAGTTTACAGAGGTGGAAGACCAGCTGTATCTTCCAAGAGCAGGGGAAGTTCTCCCACCCCTATGTACAGTGGGGTTCCCTCCACCACCCTGGAAAGCAGCAGGTCAGTTTACAGAGGTGGAAGACCAGCTGTATCTTCCAAGAGCAGGGGAAGTTCCCCCACCCCTATGTATCTGGTAAATGAAGAAGCTGCCCCAGTCTACCTAATGGTAAGGGCATTGCTGGGAGGTAAGGAGAAAGTAAAACTAGGAATGGAATTGAATATTCATAAGGTCTAAGCAAAAAAACTCAGAGTATCACTGAATGTATCAAAAATGGCAAAGTCCTTTTTCTGAGATCTGAAATATTCTGCAAAATCCAGTGGAACAGAGAGAATCTTGTGATCCAGGTATCATTTATACGTAAGTATTTTTAATAAATACCTAAGTGTCATATAAGTACATGGAATCTACCCCCCCCCCAGCCAAGAACATATTGGGTGGCCTTTCAATTCAGGACATTTAGCAAAAGAGCAACAAAAATGCATCCTGCAGCAGGCACTTATTGTATATTCCTTCTCCTCTCAATGTTCAATGTAGAGACAATTCCAAAGGGGGGGAGTTTAAATCAATCAATCAATCAATCAATCAATCAATCAATCAATCAATCAATCAATCAATCAATCAATCAATCAATCAACACACACACACACACTGTAAAGCCTTTCTTTTGCCCTCAAAAGATGTTGGTGTGATACACTTTGTTGACTCTTAACTCAAGAAACACACTCCAGCATCAGCCACCTTCCATCAAAGGCTAATTTTAGTTTTCATGAACTTTAACCAATGCCACTAGTCTGTTTTCATGGATTCACTACTCTGAGATAATGTATGAACACAAAATAATAAATATGAATGGACAGCTACCTGTTTTTCTTAAAAAAAAAAAAACTCGCAAGGAGTTAGGAAGAGAGCGAAATAAGCCTCACCATCTCTGCAGCCAGGAAATCCGCTCCTCTTCAGGCCTCCTGTAAATAACAACAGAACAGCTGGAAACACCTGGAAACGCGGGCCAGCCGCAGACTAAAAGAGTGGTCCCGAGACTCCCCACGCTTCTCTCTCCTTCCATACCTAACGAGGAACTGCTGGGATCGGGAGAAGCAAAGTTGCACTTTTCTTAACCTAGAGTTACAATATGAGGCAACGACACATTCGTGCGCCACCCTAAAACTCTTTAACATAACCTGCAGTCCATACTGCAACAACAACAACAATAATAATCCGAGAACTGCAGAGCTGAGAAGGGACCCTATGAATGATCCCGTTCCACCCGTCAAAGAGGCCCCCTTGGGGACTCGAACTCCCAACCTCTCGCTCCGCGGCCTTCGTCTCCTCCTTTCCACCACGCAGACCAGCTCCTGCGGCTGCCCGCAACGCGTGCCTGTTCTCCACGCCTCCTCCTCCTCTCCGCGTGTTCTGTCGCGTCGTCGGAACGCGCCTCGTCCCACTCCCGGAGGCGGGCGGGGAGAAGCCGCCGCGCGTTGTCCGGGCCTGGGGTGCCATTGGTGAGTGGTGTGAACGCTGTACTCCCGTCTGACGCGCCCTACGGGAGGGCGAGGATTGTGGCGGCCCAAGGGCCCGGGAGAGTCCGCTTGGTGTCCCAAAAACAAAATGGTGGCTGCTCCGTTGGATAGAATGGCGAGGAAAAGCTGCCGGGGAGGAGGCGGGCGGCGGAGGCGGAGGGAGCGACGGCTGCTCTGGAAAGGGGCTTCCGGGGACGAGATCCTTCTCACGTTGCAAAGCTATCTGTATGCCCGAACGGAACAGGCACGGAAGGCGGCAAATTGACCCGCTCTGGTCGATTTATGTTTTATATAGGCACAAATGTGTGGACTCGCGGGGAGGGGGGGAAAGGGGTTCAGATCTTTACGGTGTGAACTTGCGCTGCTTCGCCCACGGTCACAGACCCCAGAGCGGCACCAGAAGGAGAGACGGGTAAACCATGCTTGATTCCATGTATATGGGTAGAAACCCCTTGGGGGTGGTGGGTGGTTGAATCACCATATGCTGGAATCGACTCAGTGCATAGAATCCCTATATTATTCTGACACGGATGCACACATCCCCATTATGGATGATTGTGTTGCTTCCAATTGGTGGCAGTCCTCCCAGAGTTTTCTAGGTGTGCAGTCTACTCTGATGTGGTCTTCGGTTCCTCTTTCTGGTGGCATTTTGGAACAGTGCAGCTGGGCCTGGCCATGCAAGTGGCAGGGCATGTATGTAACCACCTCTGCCAGCCCAACATACTCCAGGACAGGTGATCTTGGTTGGTCCCTTCCTTGGAGCCACCGTGGGGATAAAAACTCGCAGCCCCTGACTTCTCAGCCAAGCTAAGAAATTCCTCTTAATTTCAGTAGGAATTAATAGTGGGTTTGTTGAAACCAAACAGAGGTATGGCTAGCATGGACCTTCTGTTTGAGCATTTTATTTGCAGGCCAGGGGCTAATGTGGTGAAGTGGCTGGAATATTGGACTACAGCCTGGGAGTCCTGGGTTCAAATTTCCATTGTGCCATGAAATCCATCTTGGACTGTCTTGATATACTTTACAGAGGTGTTTAGGAGATAACGTGGAGGAGAACCATGCAAGCAGACTTGAGTTCATTGATGAGAAGGTGGAGTGTGCATTGAACAAATTTAAATACTGTAAATAAGACACGCACCCATATGTAAACAAAAAGTAGAGTTGCAGCTGATGAAATGATCTGGATCCACAAAGGCTCATGGCGTACTACGTTTGTTCGTTTTTGAAGTGTCATAAGACTCGTTGAAAAGAGCAAATGGTAGGGTTGCCCAAAAGAAAAAAATCAAAGGAAAATGCTAAAACACTTAAGCACAATATCTTTATCTTTCTGTGCAAGCTTTCAGTTCCCCAGAACTCTATTAAGTAAGGAGTTAAAGCAAGTTTTTTTAAAAAAAAAGTGCTGGAGGTGGCTGACTGTTGTTTAAATCTGCATATAAACTTTTTCTATCTTAGAATGGATTGCACTGAGGAGGGGGTCATTCTTTTCAGTTTTTATAATATGTGTACCTGTGTGATGATGAAGTCTTTTCACACTTTATTTTCCTTTTTTAATATTCCTAATTCTGTTTCTTGCTTCTGAATTCTTTAGAAATCCACATGCAACCATCTTGTCTGAAACTGATTCCTCGACACTTTCTGCGAGTACAGTCCTGGATTCATTTTCCTTTGCGAGCCTTCATGGATCTGAAAGTTTTGGTTTCTTCCCTAAACGATTTTGCTTCGCTCTCTCTTGCTGAAAGTTGGGACAATGTGGGGCTTCTGGTTGAGCCCAGCCCTCCCCACCCTGTCAGTACGCTCTTTCTGACCAACGACCTAACAGAGGAGGTGATGGAGGAAGCACTGCAGAAGAAAGCCGACCTCATCCTTTCTTACCACCCACCTATTTTCCAGCCATTGAAACGCATAACATGGAAGACATGGAAAGAGCGTTTGGTGATCCGGGCTCTGGAGAACCGAGTTGGTATTTATTCTCCTCATACAGCCTACGACGCTGTACCCCACGGAGTCAATAACTGGCTTGCCAAAGGGCTTGGTGAGACATTCTTCTTATTAAATACAGTGGCGCCTCGCTTAACGATGTTAATTCGTTCCCCAAAAAATCGCTATGTGAAAACATCGTTATGCGAAACGCCATTTCCCATAGGAATGCATTGAAAACCGGTTAATCCGTTCCAATAGGAACGGATTGCCGTCCTTAAGCAAAAAAACCCATAGGAAACATCGTTAAGCGATACAATGTTTCCTCCATTGGAAGCCTATTCAATGCATTTCAATGGTTTAGCGAAGTCAATTTTTGCAAATTTAAGTGTGTCATAAAAGGGTCAAAAACGGTTTTAAATGCTTGGAATAGTTTCTGCACCTTCTAAAACGGGTGCAAACTTAATTTGGCTTTGATCCGACTTTTCGTTAATTTTTGCTGATTTTTTTTCTCCCCCACCAACTTTTGACAGCTGTCAAAAGTTGACAGCTCCATTGTTTCCTATGGGGGAGGAAAAAATTCACAAAAAATTAACGAAGACTCAGAACAAAACCAAACTTAGTTTGCACACGATTTAGAAGGCCCTCTAACGAACCCAAGCATTTAAAACAGTTGCTGACTTTTTGTTAAATTTTTGTGAATTTTTTTCTCCCCCATAGGAAACAATGGAGTTGTCAAATTTTGACAGCTCCATTGTTTCCTATGGGGGAGAAAAAAATTCAGCAAAAATTAACGAAAAGTCAGATCAAAGCCAAATTAAGTTTGCACCCATTTTAGAAGGTGCTCTAACTAATCGAAGCATTTAGAACTGTTTTGACCATTTTAAGACACTTTTTAAAATGAAAAAACAAACATCGCTAAGTGAAGCAGGGGACCTAAAAACGCATTCGCTATGCGAAGCATGGTCCCAAACTTCGCTAAGCGAAATTCGCCCATAGGAAACATCGTTAAACGGTGCATATTATTTTCTTTAAAAAACCATCGTTATGCGAATTAATCGCTAAACGAGGCACTCGTTAAGCGAGGCACCAGTGTATATGCAAAACAAGTGTCAAAGAATCACAAATTAGTACAAGGCAAGATCAACCAGAACCTCTCTTTGTGCTTTAAAGATTTTTTGATCCTAGCAGTTGTCCTAATATTTATGAGTCCTGCTGTCTTTACCGTTGAATAGCACTGCAGGGGCAGCAGGCTTGAGTATCTCAAATGATGGTTTGCAAACAGATGGCAATATCAGAAGAAGCCAGATTGCCTCCTGGGTATTTAGAAAAGTAATGAGCAGAATATAGATTTCATGGTTTCAAAACATGACCAGAGCTACTCAGAGTACTGACCACTAGACAGGCAGGGTAAGAATGTAAGAAAATAAATATTTAAATTCTTATGCAATAATTGAGATTATAGGAGTGGACTGCATGCTCTCCTGCTCTGTGCAAAACATTTGTCTCTTAATCATGGTGAGTTATGCCTGAGTTGTCTCTTAACTGTGGTCAGTACTCTGTGTTGATCTTGTCAGACTCTTTCCAGATTTGATTAAAGGGGGGTAATCCCTGTTCAGTGTTAACTGCAACTGAGGTTAGTGCAGGAGGTAAATCAAAGTCATGGTTAGGGGCAGAGAAAGTTAATGCTAGAAAAGGGAAGAGCTTCGAGAAGGGATCACGTGATCCCCTCCCCAAGATCTTGACTACAGGGAAGAGGCTGGAGTGTCATGTCCATGTTAGATCTGCACTGACTGTAGAGTACCCTGTCCATGTGGATGGGCTGTATGTGTTAACAGTACATCCTCAGGAACATCTCATGCTCCACCGTACAGCCAATGTGGGAAGGGGCCTATCTTAGCTGGTCCTGATTCTTAACCATGTGCATTAACAAAACATTGCAACCAGCTGAAGTGCCAGGTCCACTTCATTGCCATTCATTCTGGATTCACAAATCTGAAACATGAACGCATTTTACCTTATTCCTGCAAGCAAGAGTTACCTGGGAATTGCTTTGTGTTTCTTTGCATTACAGAATCATGACAGTGAGTGATGCTTAAAAAAGTATCCCAGTCATACCATTCACAGGCTGTCATGCTGCTGCCTGTGAACAGACAGTATCTCTGACCACAATCTGGTTTATACCTTACCAATGTTGCTGTCTTGCAAAATGTGCAGGGAGTGAAGGGGTTGGGGGGAAAATCGCTGCTCTGGTTACTCCCTCTTGTTCAAAACTCTTTGCACATTTTGTTAATTAAAGTATGCAGTTGAGGCAGCTAGTAAGAACCTTTATCATTGGCACGTGAGACTTTGTTTACAAACCTCTTTAAATGGTATTAATTGAACCTTATACAGTACTTAAGTCCTTGTAGCCATAGGAGGCAGACATCCATGTAGGCAAGAGAGCGGATTGGGCAAGGAAGGGGAGGAATCACCTGTCTCTGTTATGTCCAAATAGCCCATCTGAGGAGAGGTACTGCTGTGTTGTGCCCACCCTAAAAGATGCAGCAGATTACTACGAGAGGAGAAAGAGCTGTCTATCTTCCCTTCACAAGCTGCTTAATAATGTTTGGGGGTCTATGTTAATGCAGGGGTAAGGAATGTTGGGGTTCCCCCCAAATATTGCTTGGCAACAACTCCCCTCAGATCTGGCTAGCATCGCCAGAGGGCAAAGCATGGAAGGGCTGCAGTCTGACAACATCTGGAAAGCCACACATTCTCCAACTCTCATTTATAGGGTTGTAACTCATTGCCTTGGAAGGTACGCGTGCTCACTGTTTCATCATCCTCATCTTAGAACTGCAGAGCTGGAAGGGACCCTATGGATCATCAAGTCCAGCCCCTGTCAAGAAGGCACAGATGGGGGGAATCGAATTCCCAATCTCCGGCTCTAGAGCCAGAGACCTAAACCCCTGAGCTATCCAGCAGTTTGCATAACCACGTTTATGTATGGTAGTGATAATCCCAATATGCTGGCATGGAACTTGAACAGTCTGTAGATTAAAATTTATAATAGCGGCTAAAATGGGACATTGTTTACTTTAAGGTGTGTGGTTTGGTTTCTGGGTAGGCTCAGCTTTGCCTGTTGTGCTGTATAAATAATTGGGCATTTTGCTTTCTTTTCCCCAAGGAGCCTGCACCTCCGTTCCTATCCAACCTGCGGTGGCTTTGACTTACCCCACAGGAGGGTCCTACCGGGTTGAATTCAGTGCTTGCCCTGGTGAAAACTTGGAAACAGTTTTGTCCAGGGTGTGTGCGTTGTCAGAGGTTTCGCTCGTCACCACTGTCTCTGCCAGGTATTGGCGAAAGCAATCCAAGGCTCGTATCTCTTTGGTGAACAATGTCAGGTTGCCAGAAGCCATCGAGGTCTTGTAAAGAAACATTTCTCCGAGTCCTGATTTAGTAGCAAAGATGTGTGCAAAAAATAACAGAGGACTGAATCACATGCAAAACCAGCATAACTTGACTAGCTTGATCTTATTCAGAGACATTTCTGATGAGCTAGGTTTACTGTGTCTTGTAAGAAAAAGGGATTTGACATTGTATTAGTCACAAACAAACAAAAAGTGATTTCCTTCACTCCAGATATACATCTGCTGAAGTATGATTTGTTTCCTAAGAAAGCTTATACCAAATAAATCATTTGGTGTCTGGGTTTTGTACACTGGCCTTTCTAAGCTGGTAAAGTCTATAGAACCAAGCATTTCTTAGGTCTTGCTTCTAACCTGACTAAGTCAGTGGGATTGCTCATCTTCTCTTTTAACAGGATAGTGGGTCTGATCTGTCCCTTCTATATGGAGGGGTGCAGCTGGGGAATACAGAAAACAGCCTCACATCAGGTCAAGACAATTTATCCATCTGGCCCAGTGTCCTTTGTTTTGACTGACAGCAGCTCCCTAGGCAGAGAGGTCTTTCCCATCAGTGGCTCCCTAGTACTTTAAATGGGAAAAACTGGGGTTAAGCCCTGTAATCTTTGACATGCAAGGCATGGGATCTCCCACACAGCTGGGGGAGGGCTGTCCCATGTGTTCTGGTCCTGCATCTGATGCAGCCCAGAGCTGGGAGGACATGTGTCACAGCCTTTATTAGATTTGAGAGCCTACCAATTTGAGCAGGGTGGCTAGGCGCAGAAAGTGTATGACATAAAACAGTGAGATGGTGTAACAGCAATGCCATCAGGGGTTTCCCTTCAAGAGAGAAGTCTAGAATTAACATTTAAATATTAGTCAACATAAGGATGATTAATAGGGCCTAGCAGGCGTTTTAACTGAAAAACCTCCACTTTGCTTTTTCCAAGAGTTGACGGTGAAGAGCAGACACGAGTCAGCTTGAACTGTACCCAGCAAGCCATGTTGCAAGTGGTGGCCTTGCTTTCAGAGAACAGCCTTCTCTGCCAAAGGACTGAAATCATACCATTAGAGAAGGTAAGCCACATCCATGTATAGAGAGACGTATCTTCAGCACAAGCCATGTTTGAGAAAGGGCTTGGCCAGGAGGCTGAAAAGGTGGTGGTATGGTGGTGGAGGACTTAACCTCTGAGGATGAAGGTGGAACGAATGGACCTCCCAGGAGGTGCTCGCTGGCCAGCTGAAGCACACAGTGATTAGGACCTGCTGAATAGAGTGGAGCTTGCTTCTGATTGAATGTACAAATAATTGGCAGCCAAACTGAATAGTTCTTAGCACAATTCGTAGATCTGCTTTTGAAACAGAGAAAACGATTGCAATCACTTGCTGGAAACAATGACTAATGCATTGGATAACCCTTTAGAGCAGTGGTTCCTAACCTTGAGTAGCCCAGGTGGTCTTGGACAGCCATTCCCAGAACCCATTTTTTCCCACCTTTACAACGAGTGCGCCCCCGGCTGAAGAAGAACTTGGTTACACTGGGGTTTCTGGGAGATACAGTCCAAGAACACCTGGGTTATCCAAGGTTGGGAACCACTGCTTTAGAGCAGTGGTTCTTAACCTTGGGTTATTCAGTTGTTTTTGGACTGCAACTCCCAGAAACCTTCACCACCAGCTGAGCTGGCCGGGGTTTCTGGGAGTCGCAGTTCAAAAACACCTGAGTAACTCAAGGTTAAGAGCCATTGCTTTAGAGTATCTTATGCAGGGTATTTGTGAAGTGTATGTTTATAGAACAGGGATTTGAAACTCCATTGCTTGCTAAGTGAAAAGGATATTTAAGGGTGCCCAAAACCTTTCATTTCTTCTCAGCCTCTTATTTCAGATACTGGCATGGGACGCTTATGCACGCTGAAGGAACCCGTCTCAACATCTGTCTTGGTTGAACAAGTGAAGAGCCACTTAAGACTGCCTCATGTTCGCCTAGCTCTTGGAGCTGGAAAGTCACTGGGTATAGTAATTAATTAACTATCTTATGATTCAAAAGCGATATGGCTGCTAACCTGTGCCTATCCACTGCCTCAAAGGTCCAGGATAAGGTACATCAAATTTCGAAGTGGTTTGTTTGGGAATCATCTTCAAGGTTTTGACGCTCACATATAAAGTCCTGTCAGAACGTCTTTCCCCAACAAATTTCGAAGTGGTTTGTTTGGGAATCAGGTTGAAGGTTTTGATGCTCACATATAAAGTCCTGTCAGAGGGTCTTTCCCAAGTGTCATCTACCCGACCCACCAGATCTTCTCAGGCCACACTCCCAAGAGAGGCCTGAAAGTCATCTGCTAGAGGTAGGGCCTTCTTGGTGGTGGCACCAACGTTATGAACTCAACTCCTGAGGTAGGGCCTTCTCGGTGGTGGCACCAATGTTATGAACTCAACTCCATGGCCCCCTCATTTAGGAGGCAGTTTAAAACACTACTATTGAGGGAGGCCTTTCACCCCCCTCCCTGTACTCATTTAGGAGGCAGTTTAAAACAGTACTATTGAGGGACGCATTTCACCTCAACCCCAATTGAATGTCTTGCCTCCAGTCTTGCCTCTCTTTGAAATTGGTTGCACCATTGTTTACGTTTTTAGACTATGTTTTTGCTATTTATGCTGCATTTAGTGCTGCCTCCAGTCTTGCCTCTCTTTGAAAATTAGTTGCACCATTGTTTAAGTTTTTTGACTATGTTTTTGCTATTTATCCTGTATTTAGTGTTGTGTGGTTTGTTTTAACTGTCTGTAACCCGGCCAGAATAGTGCTTCAGCACTAATGGGCAGTAAGTATGTATGTATTCCAGTGCATGTCTGGGAGGACTTACTCAGAGGTAAGGTCATTTCAGTTCTGAGGGATTTATTCTGTAGAAGTGATTAGGGATTGCAGCCTACAATTTGAATAAATCTTTTTAATCAGATCCTGAAGTGAAATGAATAAAACTAGTTGAGAACTAGAATGGAAATTGTTGAACCAGATGGAAATATTTCAAAACGTTTTAATCCAATAACCAACCTCTTCTGTTTAAAAACCATATGACTAGTTGGAGTTCCACGGGGCCGAGACACCATATGACTCCAAAGCTGGAGCAAACCCAAACAAAGGCATACTAAATAAGACAGGATTTTTATTTCATTTTTTGGTTTAAGTGGAAATGTGCATAGGTGTTCCCATTAACCTTGGGTTATTATTATTATTATTTTGGAATGTCAATTCCCAGAACCTGCACACTAGCACAGCCAGTACAATGGACTGTAGTTTACTAACATCAGGGGGCACCTATGTTGGGCACAAATGGGAAGATGCATAGCATTAAAAATAGATATATTACTCTTTTGTAGAGTCTCAGGTGAAAGTTGTTGCTCTTTGTGCTGGGTCAGGAAGTACCATTCTGCGAGGTACAGAAAGTGATCTCTATCTCACAGGTAAGGTCCATTCATGTGTGAAAGCTCTGAATACAATATTTTTTGTTATTCTGGAATCTAGAAGGGGAAAATGTAAATATAACAAAACTGAAACCGACAGGATAGGTGTATTGCTGTACGCAATTACCCAGTCACTGTCTAGTCTGAACTGAATAAAATTCCACATTTGTTTTGTTTTTTTATCCTTCTTTTACAGCTGTTCTTTTTCAAATAAAAAAGAGCAGTAAGTAAAACAAACAGAACCCCCCTTGATCATTTGCAGGTGAAAGAAGAGCTTTGTCCAATCATTGTGGAAAAGAGGGGGCTGCCCCCCCATCCTCCTAGTCTGAACTGAATAAAATTCCACATTTGTTTTGTTTTTTTATCCTTCTTTTACAGCTGTTCTTTTTCAAATAAAAAAGAGCAGTAAGTAAAACAAACAGAACCCCCCTTGATCATTTGCAGGTGAAAGAAGAGCTTTGTCCAATCATTGTGGAAAAGTGACATGGAAAGTGACGTGACTGCAAAGGAAAGGTTCCTGCACATGGGTGGGCTCTCCAAACCAGCAAGAACCTGACACTCCAGAGTTCCTGGTTCTATGCAGGAGCCTTTCCTCTGTAGGTGTGTTGGTCTCTGTGTGTGAAGACAACAAGATGGGAAGGAAAGGGGCTCGGGGATCAGCTCAAAGTGTTTCTGAGGGTACAAAAGTAAGTGATAACTGACTAGGGCTCACGTTTGACAGGCAAAGATGAGAGGTGATATGCAAGAACTTTGCATGGAACAGAGAAAGAGGCCAAGTTGGGGGCGTGGAAGCCCAGCCCAGTCCTCTTGTTCTTTGGGGTACCCCCCCTTGTGCCTATATCTGTTGTTTCCACGAGGACTCCTCTATCCTGGCACTGCAGTTGTCTGGCCTAGCCCTGAACCTCCTCTCTGTGATACACAGTCGTGCAGCTACAGCAGTTATTTATTTCAAAAATTCTTCTCCGCTCTTTGGCCATAAAAGCAACTTAGACGAGCTTAACACTGCAAGGAAAGACCAACACGCGTTCTCCAGGGACTCTTAAGGAATGATCAGGGCTCTGTCCCCGTCTCGAGTCACAGGTCTCTTGATTGCTTTTACAGGAGAGATGTCCCATCACGATGTACTGGATGCTGTTTCCAAAGGGATCACAGTGATTTTGTGCGAGCACAGTAACACCGAACGGGGCTTTCTGTTGGAGCTGCAACAAACCCTGGCTGCGTACCTTGAAAACAAAGTCCAAGTCATCGTTTCTGAGAGAGACAAAGACCCCCTTCAAGTGCTCTAGGAGAAAACAAAGCCACTGTGTAAAGGCCAGAACATTAAAGTGCCTCCTTGCAGGATTTAATATGGAAGCTCTCATACTGGCAAAAGAAAGAGCTAAAAGAGTCTATTTTGAATTTTAGCTCTGTCTGGACATAAATAAATAGCTGCTTAGCAAACTGGTTTCTAAAACATATTTTTCTTTATCACAGCCTAGAGAACGATTTAAATATTTAGGTGTCTTTATTTCACTACATCCTGAACAACTGAATATTTAATTTTTCTTTCCAGGTTTGTGTTTTTCAGGAGTATCCACCAAGTTATGTTTTGCTATTACAGCCATTTTAGGACAGTAGGCTGGTCTGAGTGAAAGCGGTGTGCCCAGGAAGAGGACATATTTGAACCATCAGTCCAACATTTAATCCACTGTACTGACCAGTGCAAAAAAACAGGCAGTATTCCTGGAGAGATCTGAAAGATTCTTCAGCTCTGAGTAGTTTCAAGGGAAAGTGACTTTAATATCTGGAAGTCCTGAACCTCTCAAGCAGCTCAGACAGCAAGCATTAGGTTTCACAACAGCAATTCTTCCTCTGTAATGCTAGATTTATCCCTGTGACAAAAAAAAGCTGTCCACACCAGGAACTGTGGCAATCAGGATGGTGGCTTCCTGATCACCCACGAGGGCCCCAAAGAGGCACTGAGGACCTGGCATCTTTTTATGGTGTCACTGAAGAGGACGCTGCTCTGGCAGAATGCAAGCAGAAGCCAGAAATGGTCACTCCATGTATTGAGTCAGTTGGTATCCTTCTAGACCTTGTTATAGGAGTATTTGGACACTGATTTACTGTAGAGAGACACAATTTACATACTGAGGAATTTGGATAACAAACAAAAGTTTACTAGCGGGTTAATGTAGTGAGCTACTTTTGAACGACTGTGTTCTTTAAAGACAGGCAGACTAAAAACCATTTTTAAAGCCAAAGGCCTGATTGCCTAACAAAAAAACCCAATCAGTAATAGGTCCAGCCTGATTGGCTCTGATGGGGAGTTGCATTATTTAGGCTACTGAGAAAGGTATGTCTTGTGTACCCATCAGTCTGGCCTCTCAGGGTGATGGGATGTGGAATACAATCTCCACTGAAGCACTGATTCCCAGCACCTAGAAAAGTGAGGAGAAATCGCTTGATTGGATTGCTAAAACATCATGAATGAGTGAGATTTGGAGTCCTTCAGCTGGAAGGGGACAGGCAGACAAAGAAGTCTACAAATCATCCTTGTTAGATGTGAAAGCTTAAGGATATAGAGTAGATATATAGTTGCAAGATCAATTATGCAGCTGGTAAAGAATTAGTCTTCATTGGTTTTAGCCTGGTGTGTTGGCAGTATTAGGTGTCACCTCAGGAATAGGAAGTCACTTTTCCATCTCTGTGAACAAAAGGATACCTGTGCTGGGTTGACAGAGATGGACAACTGACCCTACATCCCAAGGCCAAATTATGAGACTGGGAGCCATCAAACTGGGTTTCTGCTGCGGATGGGAATAGAAGGACCTAGAAAGATGGCAATCACCATATTATAAAAGCTGAAGATTATTAGCACACTTGGGGAAAACAAGGCCAAATGTGGAAAGTATTACAATGGTGGGTGAAAAAAGATGGAGTCCTCTGTTTACTGAAGTAGGCAGTCTTTCAGATAACAGCTCCAACACCTCTGATTCAGTTTGGAAACAAATTATGACACCGCAATTGGGTCAGGACTAGCAGTGCTGCCACATTTTATACTAGCGATAGACTCTAAATACGTTTCAAGGGTGCCTGCACATTGAGTACAGTACATTACAGTAGTTCAGCTGAAAGAATTAAGGATTGGATTTCTGTGGCCAAATAGGCCTTCCTTAGAATTTTGCTGTTGCTGTAGTGAAAGCTGAGGTAAAGTGCTCCTGGCCACAGCAGCCATTTTGACCCACCAAGTGCTGGGACTAGGAGCACCCGAAGCTTGGGGCCCTGAGAGTACAACCCTATCTGGAAAGGCTGTTGCCCTGAACTGCATTTTCTGGTTACTAGCAAAACCTCTGTTTTGTTTGGGTTGAGCCTCAGTTTGTTCACCCACTTCCACCCCTTCTAAACAGCAGTTCAGGATTTCCATAGCACACCCCCCCCCGGGATCAGCTAAGAAAGAGATAACTGGATATCCTCAGTATTTTGCTGAGACGCAACCCCCAAATGCAGTATGACCTCTCCCAGCAGTTCTGTATAAATGTTAAAAAGCCAAGGGGACAATATTAAATCCTGAGGAAACCCGTACGTTGGAAGCCCTGAGGCAAAAGAACAACGCATCAGAACCATCATCTGGAAATGGTTCCCCAAATAGGAGAAGAATGACTACAAAATGGAATCCTTGAGGTATGTTGGAGTCAAACAGCCAAGAAGGATGTCATGAACAATAGTTATTCAATACTTCTGAGAAAGAAATCCAACAGACCTAACAAGGATACAGATGTATCTATCCATGCCAGACATCCATCAGTATGTGTACCAACCCCCCAGACCACACCTGAACCCAGATTAGAACCAATCTAAACACTGTGGTGATATAACCTCATATCCCATGGAGATCAACATGTAATAACCAGTAGGCAGAGCACCAGGAATGGGAAATGGCAACTTCCAGAATGCCCCAGCCATCAACATCCTACTTTTACACAGTGGATGCTCTGCTTTCTGTAAAGCAGCACCGACGGCACCGAGAAGCCAGTGCCGATTTAGACAATGACACGTGGGATGGTAGTGATGTCCCTCAGCCATGAGTCGAGAAACAGTAGGAGAGGAAGGCAAGAGGGAGTAGATGGCACAGGGAGCTACGGTGCCTGCGGGAGACCATGGGCCACCCAGACTATTGCTACCTAGGGTGGAGTTTGAAAACACGCACCCAGTGATGTTTTCAGCCTGCATTTTAACTCGTCTTAATAAGCAGAACTGGCACAATCATCTGCCATTAAATTTTGGGACAATTCTGTATTATGAATGCATCTGAATCCATCTGGTGGCCCTTGCTAGAGAAAACCTTGTTAAATCAATGGGATTTATATAAGTTTCAGCTTATATAACAGCTTCAACAGCTGGATCTATTTTAGTTGGGACTCGCCCGATTGTTGTCCAGAGACACAAAACACTTTGAAATCTGCTATCAGGTATCCTCCTCTGCCATCATCACCAGCAGGCTCTAGCAGAGGAAGATGGAGAGATAAGAAGGGCAATTCCAAGAGTCCTACAGAAAATCCATTCTGCTATTTAATCCTCCATCCTCTTTTCCCTTGGCACCTTCTTGGATCATGAGTCTGCTGACAACGATTGTCTTTTGCGGGTTTTATGTGAATTGCTCCAAGAAAAAGGATAAGAAAGACTTCACAACATTAAATGAAAATACCACATTAATGCACTAAAACTCCATAGCAATTAATAAAACAGAGACTGAAATTAAAAAAACGTCTTTTTAAAAAGCTAATTAATAAAACAGAGACTGAAATTAAAAAACCGTCGCCATCTTTTTAAAAAGCTAGCTAGATAGCTTGGTGGTTTAGGTATCTAGCTGGGGAGCTAGAGGTTGGAAATTCAACTAGGTATCTAGCTGGGGAACCAGAGGTTGGAAATTCAATTCCCAGAAAAGCCAGCCTGTGTAAGCCTTGGGCAAGCTGCACAGGTCCCAGGGCGCCCCCAGAAGAAGGGAGTGGGAAACCATTTCTGAGTACTCTTTGCCTGGAAAACCCTGAAAAAAAGGCTTGCCGCGAGACAGAATCAACTTGATGGCACACAATTATTATCTTGTTTAAAACCGACACGGATGATGTTGCATGAAGTCCAAAGATGGGTGGCGGAAAGGAACTTCTATAAACATAGGGCCACGCCTAACATTGAAACCACAAAAGCAAGACGGCCTCTGTACAGAAGAATACATTGACACAGCAAGTGGATTAATTAGGAGAATTTGCTGCTCTTTCATGACACCCCTGACAGTGCTGCCACTAAGGATAGGTAAGCTAGGAATGTAGACTTCTTTGCTTTTTCATTTAAGAAAGCCTCCTTTTAAAAAGAAACATGCTGTTTTTATGTATTGGCAAACGATGGCAGCATTTACTAAAGCATGTTTGAAATTCAACCACACTGCCGTGAATGAAAACATTTCTTTAAAAATTATATATATGCTTTGTAAAGTATGCTTTTTATAACCTTTCTTATTTTTCCCTGTCCTGAATACAATATATATATGTATGTAAGAAGAAAGGTTACACAAAGCATACTTTACAAAGGTATTTCCAAAGGTAGTATTGACTAGGTACGGTAATATGAATACCCACAACTGTGACATCAGGGGTGCATAACCTGTTCATCTTCCAGCGGGCTTTGTGGTCTCTTCCCCCCCCTCCGCCCACAATCCCCTATAACATTTTATACAGGACAAACAGGACAGCCTTGGTGCAAAAGAATAAATAGACACAGAACTGACATTAGAAACAATAACAGCAAAGGTGTAGTTCTTTGGAAAATGCCTTCTATAGAGACTAAGGGGCAGTGGGACTACACCTCCCAGAAAGACCTATACCTCCCAGGTAGTGCTGGGAGTTTCTTTCTTTCTTTCTCTTTTTTTTTTGAAAGCAGAATCTGACTTAACAAGGCACCAGTGGAGATAAGGAAAACTAGTCTTTAGACTCTTGTTTCTCAGCTGCACTTCTCAGAATTCTTGGAGAATCTGGGGAGTCAGAATCCCAAAAATCCAGAAGTCCCATCCCTAGTCAACTCCTTAACTAAAGGCAATTCCCTGCACAGATTTACACCCTTTGATTTATACTGGCATATGTACTTAATAGGAATTTGGCCTGTGAGTCATAGCGTTTAATAAATCCAGTTCTATGTGTGCAGATATTTTTCCTTCTAAGGAAATCAAAGAGTGGAGTTCACCTCCAGTATTAACCATTGATCCTTGCCCTAGAGTTAATGAGTTGCACACTTTATACAGGCCCTCATTATACACTTGACATTGAATGTTTGGATGCTACAGTCCTTTTTACAAAAATGCTGACTTTTCATGGGCTTGAAGTTTTTGAGACTGGCATTCAGACATAAGTCTTCCACCTGGCTGCAGTTAATCAGTCTAAATTGCATATTAGAGAGGATACAATTTGA